CAGGGTTGAGTTTCAGCAAACATTTATCTAGTGCCCCCTAATGGCCATGTCCAGTGCTAGAGGCTGAAGGAATGAAATGAAAAATTAAGATCCTTTCCTACCCGAGTGTAGAATTCGGTGAGCAAGGTGAAAAAAGTGGCACACGTAAACAGATTCCTGGTTTAAATAGGTACTGTCGAAAGGGAAGTGGGTGAAAGAATGCCGCAGGGAAAGGGGCACCTACAATTTAACTATTTGCCTTCGGACTGGGGGAGAGTTTGGATTTTATGTGGGCTGAACCTGAAAGGGGTGCTGTGCTAATTACCTGCCTGTGTTCTCTCGAGTCCATTCCCCACTCCTCCCTGCTCTGCTTGGTAATTCAGGAAACCGTATTTCCCAGGGTCCAGTGCCCACTGGCTCGTGGATGGGCTTGACCGGTAGGAAGCTTCAGCTGAAGATGGGAGAGCCAGAGCAAGGGTGACAGCAAGCTCCCTCTCTCCATCTCCTTTACTTGGGCAGCGTGGCTGGCTATGGTGGTGGCTCCTCTGTGGTTCCAGAAAGGCCAGCCACGTCCTCCATGGTTTCAGTGTCAAGGGGCTGGTGCTGGTCCTGGGCTGTAGGAATCCCTGTGTCCTTCCAGGCCAGGGAAGGTAGAGGCTCCCTACTGAGGCTCATCTTGGCATTGCATCACCTCCCTCCATTTGGCATCTTGGCTCTTCAGTTACTCAAGCAAAAATTCCCTGTGTTAAATCTCCTCTGTTTTAAATCTCCAGGGATGGCTTTTGTTTGACTGCCTGCACCCTCGGTGAACAGGAGATCAACTCCCGAGGGGGAAGAACAGAACAGGCTCTGGTCTGGAAAAGAATGAAGGGTCAGGTGGAAGATTTAGCCTGTGGGAAAGGAGAGGGTCAAGGCCACCTAAAAACAGGGATTCTCAGACATGCGGAGACTATGCTGTTGAGGCAACGCCATTCGGCGCCTGGTGGGTCTTTGGAAGGCTGAGGAAGGCTCTCTTTCTATACAAATACAAGGGCAAAATGTTGCCCAAGAAGAGATGTCACCTACGTAGGCAAGCCACAAGGCTGGAGGATTTTGGATCCAGTGCACCTCTTTGTTTTCCATCAAGTTTAAATCAGCTGGACGGGGCTCTCGGGAATGACTCACCCACGCAGGATACCAAAGCTGGAAGTTGTCTTCTTCCTTCGGATTATATGCATGAGGACACTGAAGCTTTGGTATGGGAAAGTGCTTTGCTCAAGGTCACACAGTTGGCATCGCTGGAAGAACTCCACTCGCCTAATTTCAGGGTCAAAGCCTTTTTCATGCTGTCCTTGGAGCCTTTACCACGCCCCGAGTTTCAGCTCATTACATTACAGGCAGGTTTGCTCTTTCCATAACTACAAGATTCTGAACAGGTTTGAATGGGTTGGTCACATATTAATAATTTCTAATTTTGAATGAAACATAATAAGCATGTTACTCCAAAGTGACCAGTTTGGAGTGGTTTTTAAGTAGTTTAAATAAAGTCATTTAATAAAGCCACAGACATTATATAGTCAACGAAAATGCAGGTAGAATTCAGGTAGTAGAATATAGTCTCCTTTGTTAGCAGAAACAAAAAACAAGCAAGCAAACAAACAAAAATGAACCTTCGAGACTGCGGTACTTGCTATATGCTCACACCGTTAGCCTTTATAAAATCCTACAGTTGTTATCACTTCTGTATGAAGACCGAACACCACGGTTTGGTTTGACACAAAATAAACTCCTGGAGGCCAAGACTTTAGAGACATTATCTGTTTAATAAATATGATTGTAAAAGCAATAAACAAGAGCAAGTATACATTACACTACATAGTATTTAACAAAAAAATACATCAAAAAAGTCATCTTAAAATTAGAAGTAGGTCCGATACTGTAAGAAAACTTTCTCTTTTTTTTTTTTTTTAAATTGGCTTCCTAGAAAAATAAGTTGGCAAATGAGGGATTTCAATGCTCAGTTGGAATCCTGGAAAACAGAACAGCTGCCAAACACCCCATTGCTCTCAAAGTTGCTGTTTGGAACTTCTGAAAAAAAGCAAAGCAAACCTCTGCATTTTGGATAGTGAATCCAATTAGGAATAAGGCAAAGGAGAAAATGTTGGTTGGGTAGTTCAGGGTAGAGCACGCACAGTTTGCCTTCTGCGATTTTTGGAAAACGTTGTAATATCAGATTCTTAGCTTGCCCTGAATCTTCCCTTCCACATCCATCCCTCCCCACCCACTCCTCTGGCCTGAAGCCCACCAAACTCCTCACTGTGTTTGCACCTGCTGTTAGCGAGTCGGTAGGCACTTTGGTCCCTCCCATTTGTAGGCTCTCATTACTACCTTCTCTTTGGGATTGAGCTGGAGTGGCAGGGTGTGGTTCCCGAAGTTCTGTGTACAGTACAATAACCTGAAAAGCTGGTAAAAATTGACTGCTGGGCCCTACCCCCTGTAGTTTCTGGTTCAGTAGGTCTGCAGTAGGGGGACCCTAAATTCTAGTAAGTCTGAGGTTATGCTGATACTGCTCATTCCAGGTACCACACTTTGAGAACCACAGCACTAGATCATAAGAACAATGAGGTCCCCTCTGAGCGGTACCTTGCCTCACTCATGTCCTACAGGTGGGAGGGAGCTTCGAGGAGAGGCACATGAGGATCCTGGAGATGCTGAATAGAGAGCCGGCCATCTGTGATCACTTTCCAAAATGCCAGGCATCTCATGTTTACCTCTATTTTTAATTAGGACTTACGCACCCATTTTTCCTTACATTTTCTCACATATTCTTCCACTTATCCCTTCAACAAAGTAATCTTCTTAATACCCGTTCTAGGCAAGGCACTGTGCGAGATTAAGAGGGTGATTCCCTTTTTCATAATTTTCCAATTAAAATTGATTGAACTGCATCTCTGAGGACTCCCTGTGCTGTTTTGAGTGAGCCTCTTTTGGTTTCCAAACATTTTGTCTTCCAGATTAAACTTGGAAGGCTCCAACTGAAGTGGATCGATGAGGATGTTTCCTATGGGATAGGAAGCCTGGCGGGCTGGGGATCAATTGAGTTCTACAAGCAGATGGCTGCCTCAGGCATAATCCATTTCCCAGATTCAGCCGGGGCATCCTCAACCACAAAAACTTCTGTCTGATTCACTTCTGACTGCAGCTTTGCTACTCTTCGCCTGCCTGCACTACATAAGGGCAGGGATCTCCGGGATCTTTGGGACCTCCCCAGGATCACCAGGACCCTCTTAGCGACCGTGATTGGCCTGGGTACATGGCCAAGCAGGAGGCTGCTTTCTCTGAATGGCTTTCAAAACTGCTTTCCCCTGTATTTTAGAGTGGGCTTTGCCTAATTCATGATCCTCCAAGATCCTCAGCTTCTGCTGAACACATTTTTGTTTCCTTCCTTCCTTCTCCGGACCTTCTTTCATCATTGCCCTGGGCAAATGAGGATTGTTCTTGCTCTGAGCCAATCTGCTTTAGACATCTACCGCCTCCCATGTAAGTTTACTAATTTTTCCTTTGCCAATACTAGGATACTCAGAGATCAGAGAGCATACCTGGGAGATGTCTGGGACCATCCCACATAATCAAAATCTTATCCTAATGTAAGACAAGACCTCCATATAGTCTCAGACTTTTTGACACTCTTAAATATTAAATCCATTAACCTGCTTCTTCTTCTGGTTAAAATCAGTTTTATTTTACAAATATTTTTACTGTATTGTGAGAGAACAAATACTGGGTAATAGCAACCATTACAGAAGGAAATTGCCCTGCCACACAGTAACACGTTTGAAACATTTCTCACAAGAATATTCTGGAATCTGCACACGAGATTTTTGTTAAGGTGTGAGAATACCACTATTCATCTGTATGCTTTCTTTTCCAGTGTACATGGCCAGGTTTGAATTGCTTTGCATACATCAACTCTTTCACACACTCTGCATGTTTCCAGGTGGGAAAAGGCAAAGCTATTTGGAAGAGGCAGGTTCTATAGGAGGGGACAAAGGATACATGGACCGAACCCTGCAGGGCAGGATGCAGCTGGGTCAGTGTGTAGGGAAGTTGGCATGCTGACAGATCAGAAATGTGTGGGTGGTGGGGGGCAAGGCCAGCAGAGACCAGGCCAGTATTTAGGGAACACTGAAGTTAATGTCTAGAATCCAGTGACATGTTTGGGAGGAAAAAGTAGGAGTTGAAAGACAACTTGGAGACTGGAAGGAAGAGGTACAAAGACATCAACAGATCATGACCTCACATGGATAGCAAACAAACGGGGAGGCCAGACAATGGGGAGCTGGGATTCTCTCTTCTACGCAAGTTGGGGGGCGGGAGTAGGAAAGCTACGAGGGAAAGCCTTGGCGACGGGAAGAACTGAACAGGAAACAGAGATCCACTTCTGACATGCTTGCCCCACTGCCTGCCTTCCCTAGCCTGTCTGCGTATGTGGAACTTCACCTCGCTCCTTCATCCCTGTGGCTGCACAGAATGCAAGAACGCAAGCAGTCTCGTGGCCACGGCTGGCCACCGAAGCTACCAGAGATAACTTAGAATAGAAACTGGGACAGAGAAACAGCTCAGGGTTTCACACTCCTGTGCATGTCTTTGTGTCTTATGAAAGGCGCTGGGGTGGCTAATCCCCCCCATCAGCCTCTAGTGCTAAAATAGCTGTTAAGTCGAGAGCCAAGAATATTTCCAAAAACACATGCAGATTTCCTTGGCCTCTATATGTTATGAATTTTCTACAAACACGACCGATCAGAAAAAAGAGAGAGAAGAGGAAAGGGGGAGGGGAGTGTTTTTCCATTAAAATAGAGCACCTGTACACTGCCCCTCCACGCATGTTCTCAAGGTACTGTCCACATGCACAGGCTTAAAGCTAAAAACCCTTGTTTTCTGTGTCTGAAGAATTAAAAAGTCCCGATGCAGTGAGTGTTTGTTTGTTTGTCTGTTTGTTTGGATTTTGATAGTTTTTTATTTTATCTGTTTGTTTGTTTTTGTTTTTACTGGCGTCCTCCATTCAAACATTTACATAGGTAGGGATTTCTTTTGTGCTTTGATTCTCAGCAACTATGGAAATACTTCCTGGCAAAATAGGAAACAGAACAACAAAGGAAAGAAAAAAAAAAACAAAAACATCAAGTTAGTGGTCATGAAGGATGGTGCACTTGACAAGAGCGAAATTCTTTCCTGATCAGCAGGTCGCCTGTAGCCTTTGGGGGTTTTCCTTAAATTGCAAATTGTGCCCCAGCAGATCCCCGCTTTGGCGTTGAAGGTGGAGTGGCGTGTCTTGCTCTTTGCAATCGGAGAGATGAGTCACCAGGTTGAGTAGAAGGGGAGGGAGGGGAGGGTAAAGCTACTCTCCTAAGAGAAAACGTGTAACACTTACTCATTTAATGACACTGACAACGGAAAGGTGTCAGAGACTGTGCAATGTGCTGCTGGATGCTCTTGGTGAAGGAGGGATTGCTACTTTAATAAAGTCAACAGCGCTGTGCTTCATACCCCGTGGAAATGGGATTGAAAATCAAATGACCCACAAAAATTCACTTAGAAGTTTTAGAAGTAAATAGGGTGAACGCTTCTCTGGACTTGAAGACAGAAAAGCCTTTTTCTTTTGAACCTAAAGCAATTACACATTTATCACCCTGTCTCCCCAAATAAAAGCCAGCACGCTGTGAACACTGGACCCCAGATGTGGCTCCAGCTGGTATTATTACGTCCAAGACAAGCCAGGCCCTGCACTGAAATCTCACCCAGTACCATCACAGAACTCTTCCACATCTGCTTAAAGAGAGGCTTTTGTTTCCATTTGGGTGCTCCTTTCCCTTTCTAAGTAACAGATTAAAAATCTTAGGTAGCGGCCTTCTAGAAGGTTTGGTATTCTGACATTAGAGTGAGGCACGGATGGTTATCTAGTAATGTTTCCGTCTCAGTCAGCAATGTACGATTTGAGGTGGCAACACTATAGCTTCAAGTCCTGACACCAACAGACAGGAGGAAACAAGGCCAGCCATGGATCACAATGGTAGCTCCACGGGTTTGTCTAACTCCCTGGAAATTTTTCCTACGCTATAGAGAGTAGGACTTAGCAATTACGCCTGAGACTCTAGACCTAGTGGTTGGATTCCCAGCGTACTTGGCAGGCAGAGAGAGAGAGAGCTCTACTGATATATGGTAAGGTCCACTGTAAGACTTCTGGTAGGGGGCAGGTAAAGAGGAGGAAGAAATCTGCCCATCTGCTCTGTAACAGGCTAACCCTCCAGGGGTCCCTCTCAGGAAACCTCACTCCTGGGATGTTCTGCAAACTTTCTGCCTCTTGTCCTCAAAATTCTCAGGTTCCACGTTTCCTGGGGGGTGGGAGGTGGGGGGCAGTTCTAAGATTCCTGCTAATTAAAAAAAATCCCAGGGTAATCAGCTTGGCCCTCCTCTATTCTGTCTCATGACGTCACTTCTCTGTAAGCATTCTGGAGCAATTTGCCCTCCAAGGAGTTGTCTCGAGGCCAGGCGGCCCTGTCCTACCCTGTCATTCCCTATCCTGCCCGGCCCTCCACATCACCACATCCAGCCTCTGCGGCCTCCTTCTTGCACATTGTTAGAGCCAACACTATGCTCTTTTGCCCATGAACATTTTGAAGCCCCGTATTTTAGAGCAAGAGATTTTGCAAAAGGAGGAATAAAGACCCAAGAGAGAAAAAAAACACTACATAGGAGCAAGAAGGCTTCCCCCCCGCCCCACTCATTCCAATGGAAGGAAGCAGGGAAAGAGACATCTTAGCTGTTTCTGTCAGGAATGTTAGAGCAGGAGAAAGTGGTTACGGCAAGCCAGAAAGGGGTTAGACAGAGTCAGCCGTTGACTACCAGGCTGAGCAGCTGATGGCTACTGGGAATCATTTACCTATGAGCTGGCATTCCACCTTCTCATCTATCAGTTGGCCAGGCCTCCTTAGTTCAGTCTGAGGGATATGGGCCCTGCTTTCAGTGTGACTGACCCGACTGACCATCTCTCGTTCTTTCTCATTCTGCATCTGGGCATAAACATTAATCCCCGGGATCTTCCTAAAACATTAACAGACAGCATCATTGCTATGCACGGGAGACATACATCACAGCAACACGTGCTTCCAAACCTGTCAGGGAGAAGGAAGGGGGAGGGGAGACGTGGACGGAGGACCACATACCTTTTAAACTTGTAGATGACGAACACGGCCAGCCCTACAAACACCACTGAGAGCAGCATCAGCATGGCGGATCCACTGTGGGTTGGAGTGAGGTCCACCAGTGGGGCTAGGGGAGAACACAAGGCACGGTCATGGGCAGAGATGCGGGCACGTCTGACTCCATAAGATGCTGACGCTCTTCATTCACACAGAGGCACGGTGAGTCCCAGGAAACCACGGCGGGCCTACGCACAGATGCGCGTCACATGGGTGGCATGGGTGGGGGGCAACTGAGCCTGCCCCCGCCCCCAGAACATTCCAGCTGGCTTATTCGGGAAGTGCGGTGGGGCCCTGGAGCCAGACTGCTCGGATTCCAGGCCTGCGCTAGCACGCACTGGCCCTGTGATTCTAGGCAAGTGATTTCACCTTAATGGGCTTACGTGGTGAGAGAATAATAGTGCATATCTCATCGGGTCTGTGTGAGGACCAGGTGAGTCCACGTACATAAAGCACTGATAACAGAGGGGGACACACAGGAAGTCTTCCTTAAGTATCAGCTGTCTTACTACTGTTGCTGCTATTCTATTTGATCAATATTTATCAGACTATAATTATTAATTTTTCCTATTCTTTGAGTGCAAGCTTTTCTCACACTAAGCAATGCACATCACCAGAAAAAGCAACAGGAATATTCTTATGAATGATCTGCTATCTCTCACTCCTGTCCCTGCAAGTGTCATGTGAGACAAAGGGCTGGAGGGTCATGGAGCACGCTTATCTTTTGGGCACAAAGGAAACTGACAGCTAAGTGAGTATTTTACAAGAGCAGCCTCTGTGGTGCAAGCAGAGGGGTGTGAGACCCGATGTTGTCTCGACGATGTCCCAAAGCCCTGAGAGCAGCTCGTGCCAGGAGACACCAGGATGCACAGAGTTCTCCTCTTTGCATCCATAACAGATTCTCCTCCCTGAGTTTACCCTTAGACCGCAGCTTTCAGGAACATCTCTCTCCACCTCCAAATCCCCCGACTCGAGGCTCCTTCTGCTCTGTCTGGTTACTGTCAGGTTACGTTCCAGCCACTCGATGCAACTGAAGAGCATGTTTCAGACACCAAATAGTTTTGCTGAGAAACAGGTCAAACCTTCTTTCTCAGAAAACAGGTTTAGTTGTTTTAGTAGAATCAGCTTTTAGGAACAGGGAAATTAAGCAACCCCTGTGATTCTCTCTCTCCTACATCAAGCAGCACTTATGCCTTGCAGAGCTCGTGGGTGAGTCTGTGTGTGAGAAGGCCGCAAGGAGACACCCAAGGCTCCCGTGCTTCCAGGTCAAAATGAGAAAAATAAAAGTGTCTTTCATTTACTTAGGCAAACACAGTGCCATTAGCAAAGGAGTCCAGAAAACCTTCAGAACTCATAGTGCAATTGGTAGGATGTCACCAGGGAAGGGGACACCTTCCATTTTTCATAGACATTATCGCAACTGATTTCCACAAATGGAAGGCAGGGCTGTGACCTCCACTGAAGAGATAAGAACAGTGAGGCTCTCACTGGCTAATGTCCTTCCAAAGGACTCGAAACTAGGAAGTGGAAGAACAAAGATTTGAACCTGAGTCCTACCACAAACACACACATGGAGCTAATTTCAATGGAAGATACCAGAAACTTAAAAACATATTTCTGAGAGTGGGGATTAGGGCTAAAACTACAGTTTTAGTGCGAGAAGCAAATTAAATATTATCAAGTCTTAGAAGGACCAGTTAGAATCATAAAGCGTGCTGTCTTACACTTGGGTGGCACGTGTGTGTACATACATACGCATATGTGTGTGTATACACACATGGTACATGTGCGTAAAGAAATGTACCCAGCACCTGGCTTCAACAAACATCAACCCGCAGACAATATTGTTTTATTTTTATCCCCCACCGGTCCTCACAACCCCAACCGCTGGATTATTCTGAAGTAAATCTTAGCCATCATGTAATTCCATCTGTAACTCTAAAAGATAAGGTCCTTCTCTCTCTTGACAATTATCACAATACTGTTATCACACTCAAGGAAATAAAAATGGGAAGCTATTTTATAGGTCATCTCCTAATGCAAACCCTTAGTTTGGCAGGGAACAAAGGCAGGTTCAGGGACGGGCCTCTCTGTTTAGGATGGTTAGAGGCAGGTTAGCTTTATTCGCTAAACTTGTAATTCCTAGCTGCCGGCTCTGTCAGAATAAGCAGAGAGCAGTGCTATGGAGTAACCACGAGCGGTACTAAGCCTGCTTGAAAGGGTTGGCATTTGAAATAAATGGAAAACTAAAGAGAGAAAATTGCTTTCGCCAGGCTCTTGCTAAAAGAGAAAGCAAACACACACACACACAAATTTCCCTTCTCTTCCCTTCCTTGGCTTCTTTCTCCACATCACAAGTTTCTGCCATTCAATTCTAAATCATTCCTACTTGAAACATCATTCCTACACAAGGGCATTAGCACTGGTAAGTAATTAGCATAGTATTTTGGGAAAAGGAGCTTCTGTGTTCTGAGAGCTAAAGCCGGCTCTCTGCTCCCCATCTCTGCACCGCTTAGCCTCAGAGGCGGGCCGGCCGGCCGAGCAGGCGGAGACCGGACGCCACTGCCCCGTGTGTTCCGTGGAGCTGCTTGCTGACCTGCCCTGAATGTAAGCGGACCAGTTACCGCTGCTCACAGCGCCGGCAGCCTTACCTTCGTCTGCCCGACACTTACGTGCGTTTGAGTGTATTCTGCTGAGGATGGAAACTTGTGATAAATGGGCTTTAGCTGGTTGTGTGGAATTAGCATAAATTAATCCCTCTCCAGTTGCAGCCTAAACGAGGTAGAAGCGTGAAGGAAAATGCTGAGCGCTTTATTTGTCCTGATCCACACAGAGTAAAGCATGGATAAGACCGTACTGTAGGTGACTCCCCTTTCTTTCTTCTTCTTTTTTTTTTTAAGAGAGGGAGTGGGGGAGGGGTGGAGAGAGAGAATCTTAAGCAGGCTCCATGCCCAGCACAGAGCCGGATGTGGGGATCGATCCTTACGACCCTGAGAGCATGACCTGAGCCGAAATCAAGAGTCGGACACGTAACCGACTGAGCCACCCAGGTGCCACTAACTTCACATTTCTAAGTGTGGGTGAGGGCACACACTGTTTCTGAAATCCTGGGAGGACTCAGAAATGCACTGAATTATTATGTTCTATTCATGAGGACCCAGGTTGATTATAACAACAGCAATGCTTACAGTAAGGACAACAGTCTTCCTGTGAAAAGTGACTGGAATATATAAATAAATGCTCACAGGCTGTGCACACGAGAGCAGTCTCAGAACTCCATGTCTGTGGTCAAGAAATTGATACAGCCCCCTTTGAGAATCAGATTCTGAGTCTGCCACTTGTGGGACTTAAGTGACTTAAACTGAACCTCAGGTTCATCATCTGCATAATGGAGGTAACGCTAAATGCTTGTTCTAGAAAGTTGTGAGCATAAAACAAGATGGGATCTTTATAGCACTTGGCATAGTGTCCAGCACATAGGACACGCTCAGTATTTCTAACACTGTCATATCATTGCTATCATATTCTACAGAAAACAAGCCCCAAAAGATGACAAAAGGGTTCCATGGTTAGATGATTTTGGGAAATGGTATATACAGTATTCCCCATCTTGGAGATTTGCAATGCTTATCAGTAACAGAGTTCACAGCAGTCCTTGTGCACCTGGGTGGCTCAGTCGGCTGGGTGTCTCTTAGTTTCAGCTCAGGTCATGATCTCAGGGTTGTGGGATCAAGCCCTGCCTTGGGCTCTGCACTGGGTGTGGAGCCTGCTTGGGATTCTCTCTCTCCCTTTTCCACTGCTCTTCCCCTGCCTCTAAAATAAATAAATACATCTTAAAAAAAAAAAAAGTTCACAGCAGTCCTGTAGGAAAGAAATTCATTAAACTCTACCATAGTGTCTCCCAAACTCATATGGCCATAGCCCCTTTCCAGACCAAAGTCCCACACAACATGCTTGAGGAAAAGCTTTACCCTGGGAACCACTTTCCCCTTTGCTGCAGCCTTGCCCCTTTGTTTGGTTTATTTCCAAGTTGTAAAGTCAACAATAAGGTGGCATCACCTGGTGAAACTGTGCTCTTTGTATTCACTCTCATTCCAGCAAAAGGACTTTCTTGGAGAATTTCTACCTGCACTAGTACTCTGAAACCCTGAACTACATTTCTAACTCATTTCTACATTTCTAATCCAGAAGTTAGCATGGTCAAGGAACTTACAAAAGCAAGTTTGCCAAATCTTGAATTTCTTTTTGACTCTACTGCCTCCAAAGCAGAACTATACTGGGCTTCAGTTACATGCCTGGAATATCACAAAATCCATGTGGTCTGAAACCTCTTTTCCAGAAATTAAAGTGATATGGGAATGGCACAAACAATTTATTTAGAAAACAGAAAGAGTGGGGCGCCTGGGTGGTTGAGTTGGTTAAGTGTCTGCCTTCAGCTCAGGTCATGATCTCCGGGTCCTGGGATGTAGCCCCACATCAGGCTCCCTGCTCAGTGGGGAGTCTGCTTCTCTCTCCCTCTGGCCCTTCCCCAACCTCTCTCTCTGTCTCAAATAAATAAATAAATACATAGATAGATAAATAACATCTTAAACAAAAAAATAAAAGAAAACAGAAAGAGCAAAAGGTTTTCATTTACAAAGCACTCTTTCTTGGCCAACAGGCCTTTCTGTCAGTTCAAATCCAAACACAATCATGACAGTCTTAAGTCCTGCCATACCCTGTTGGGATAAAGCCATGATCCAGCAGGACTAACAGCCAGACAGTATGAGAACTCCAAGGAAGCTCTAATGACGAGTGAAGCAGTGCTGCTAGTTTTAAACTGAAGATGAGTCTTCAAGAACATCCAGTCATGGAGTTTAAGTCACTTGGCCAAGTAATGACAACTCTGGGTACCTCAAAGACCAAACTTATCACTGTAATTGACAGACAGGAAGAGAAAGATGCATTTTGGTTTTCTAGGGTTGAAAGTCAACAAGATATCCTGCTTACTTTGGAAAGTGTTTCTCAAAGTGGAAGTTTACAGACTACCTGAATCAGAATCACCTGGAGAATGTGTGAAAATGCAGTCTC